TTACGTCCCAAAGGCGTCCCAAAGGCAATCTAAATACGCGTGGAGCAGGGGGTAGACAGCGAGGGGTAGACAGCGAGGGGTAGACAGCGAGGGGTAGACAGCGAGGGGTAAGACAGCGAGGGGTAGACAGCGAGGGGTAAGACAGCGAGGGGTAGACAGCGAGGGGTAGACAGCGAGGGGTAGACAGCGAGGGGTAGACAGCGAGGGGTAGACAGCGAGGGGTAGACAGCGAGGGGTAGACAGCGAGGGGTAGACAGCGAGGGGTAGACAGCGAGGGGTAGACAGCGAGGGGTAGACAGCGAGGGGTAAGACAGCGAGGGGTAGACAGCGAGGGGTAGACAGCGAGGGGTAGACAGCGAGGGGTAAGACAGCAAGGGGTAGACAGCGAGGGGTAGACAGCGAGGGTAGACAGCGAGGGGTAGACAGCGAGGGGTAGACAGCGAGGGGTAGACAGCGAGGGGTAGACAGCGAGGGGTAGACAGCGAGGGGTAGACAGCGAGGGGTAAGACAGCGAGGGGTAGACAGCGAGGGGTAAGACAGCGAGGGGTAGACAGCGAGGGGTAGACAGCGAGGGGTAGACAGCGAGGGGTAGACAGCGAGGGGTAGACAGCGAGGGGTAGACAGCGAGGGGTAGACAGCGAGGGGTAGACAGCGAGGGGTAGACAGCGAGGGGTAGACAGCGAGGGGTAGACAGCGAGGGGTAGACAGCGAGGGGTAGACAGCGAGGGGTAGACAGCGAGGGTAAGACAGCGAGGGGTAGACAGCGAGGGGTAGACAGCGAGGGGTAGACAGCGAGGGGTAGACAGCGAGGGGTAGACAGCGAGGGGTAAGACAGCGAGGGGTAGACAGCGAGGGGTAGACAGCGAGGGGTAGACTGCGAGGGGTAGACAGCGAGGGGTAGACAGCGAGGGGTAGACAGCGAGGGGTAGACAGCGAGGGGTAGACAGCGAGGGGTAGACAGCGAGGGGTAGACAGCGAGGGGTAGACAGCGAGGGGTAGACAGCGAGGGGTAAGACAGCGAGGGGTAGACAGCGAGGGGTAAGACAGCGAGGGGTAGACAGCGAGGGGTAGACAGCGAGGGGTAGACAGCGAGGGGTAGACAGCGAGGGGTAGACAGCGAGGGGTAGACAGCGAGGGGTAGACAGCGAGGGGTAGACAGCGAGGGGTAGACAGCGAGGGGTAGACAGCGAGGGGTAGACAGCGAGGGGTAGACAGCGAGGGGTAGACAGCGAGGGGTAGACAGCGAGGGGTAAGACAGCGAGGGGTAGACAGCGAGGGGTAGACAGCGAGGGGTAGACAGCGAGGGGTAAGACAGCGAGGGGTAGACAGCGAGGGGTAGACAGCGAGGGGTAGACAGCGAGGGGTAGACAGCGAGGGGTAGACAGCGAGGGGTAGACAGCGAGGGGTAGACAGCGAGGGGTAGACAGCGAGGGGTAAGACAGCGAGGGGTAGACAGCGAGGGGTAGACAGCGAGGGGTAGACAGCGAGGGGTAAGACAGCGAGGGGTAGACAGCGAGGGGTAGACAGCGAGGGGTAGACAGCGAGGGGTAGACAGCGAGGGGTAGACAGCGAGGGGTAGACAGCGAGGGGTAGACAGCGAGGGGTAGACAGCGAGGGGTAGACAGCGAGGGGTAGACAGCGAGGGGTAGACAGCGAGGGGTAGACAGCGAGCGGTAGACAGCGAGGGGTAGACAGCGAGGGGTAGACAGCGAGGGGTAGACAGCGAGGGGTAGACAGCGAGGGGTAGACAGCGAGGGGTAGACAGCGAGGGGTAGACAGCGAGGGGTAGACAGCGAGGGGTAGACAGCGAGGGGTAGACAGCGAGGGGTAGACAGCGAGGGGTAGACAGCGAGGGGTAGACAGCGAGTGGTAGACAGCGAGGGGTAGACAGCGAGGGGTAGACAGCGAGGGGTAAGACAGCGAGGGGTAGACAGCGAGGGGTAGACAGCGAGGGGTAGACAGCGAGGGGTAAGACAGCGAGGGGTAGACAGCGAGGGGTAGACAGCGAGGGGTAGACAGCGAGGGGTAGACAGCGAGGGGTAGACAGCGAGGGGTAAGACAGCGAGGGGTAGACAGCGAGGGGTAGACAGCGAGGGGTAGACAGCGAGGGGTAGACAGCGAGGGGTAGACAGCGAGGGGTAGACAGCGAGGGGTAGACAGCGAGGGGTAGACAGCGAGGGGTAGACAGCGAGGGGTAGACAGCGAGGGGTAGACAGCGAGGGGTAGACAGCGAGGGGTAGACAGCGAGGGGTAGACAGCGAGGGGTAGACAGCGAGGGGTAGACAGCGAGGGGTAGACAGCGAGGGGTAGACAGCGAGGGGTAAGACAGCGAGGGGTAGACAGCGAGGGGTAGACAGCGAGGGGTAGACAGCGAGGGGTAGACAGCGAGGGGTAGACAGCGAGGGGTAAGACAGCGAGGGGTAGACAGCGAGGGGTAGACAGCGAGGGGTAGACAGCGAGGGGTAGACAGCGAGGGGTAGACAGCGAGGGGTAGACAGCGAGGGGTAGACAGCGAGGGGTAGACAGCGAGGGGTAGACAGCGAGGGGTAGACAGCGAGGGGTAGACAGCGAGGGGTAGACAGCGAGGGGTAAGACAGCGAGGGGTAGACAGCGAGGGGTAGACAGCGAGGGGTAGACAGCGAGGGGTAGACAGCGAGGGGTAGACAGCGAGGGGTAAGACAGCGAGGGGTAGACAGCGAGGGGTAGACAGCGAGGGGTAAGACAGCGAGGGGTAGACAGCGAGGGGTAGACAGCGAGGGGTAAGACAGCGAGGGGTAGACAGCGAGGGGTAGACAGCGAGGGGTAGACAGCGAGGGGTAGACAGCGAGGGGTAGACAGCGAGGGGTAGACAACGAGGGGTAGACAGCGAGGGATAGACAGCGAGGGGTAGACAGCGAGGGGTAGACAGCGAGCGAGGGGTAGACAGCGAGGGGTAGACAGCGAGGGGTAGACAGCGAGGGGTAGACAGCGAGGGGTAGACAGCGAGGGGTAGACAGCGAGGGGTAGACAGCGAGGGGTAGACAGCGAGGGGTAGACAACGAGGGGTAGACAGCGAGGGGTAGACAGCGAGGGGTAGACAGCGAGGGGTAGACAGCGAGCGAGGGGTAGACAGCGAGGGGTAGACAGCGAGGGGTAGACAGCGAGGGGTAGACAGCGAGGGGTAGACAGCGAGGGGTAGACAGCGAGGGGTAGACAGCGAGGGGTAGACAGCGAGGGGTAGACAGCGAGGGGTAGACAGCGAGGGGTAGACAGCGAGGGGTAGACAGCGAGGGGTAGACAGCGAGGGGTAGACAGCGAGGGGTAGACAGCGAGGGATAGACAGCGAGGGGTAGACAGCGAGGGGTAGACAGCGAGGGGTAGACAGCGAGGGGTAGACAGCGAGGGGTAGACAGCGAGGGGTAGACAGCGAGGGGTAGACAGCGAGGGGTAGACAGCGAGGGGTAGACAGCGAGGGGTAGACAGCGAGGGGTAGACAGCGAGGGGTAGACAGCGAGGGGTAGACAGCGAGGGGTAGACAGCGAGGGGTAGACAGCGAGGGATAGACAGCGAGGGGTAGACAGCGAGGGGTAGACAGCGAGGGGTAGACAGCGAGGGGCTATGGGTGCGGGGGTAAGACAGCGAGGGGCTATGGGTGCGGGGGTAAGACAGCGAGGGGCTATGGGTGCGGGGGTAAGACAGCGAGGGGCTATGGGTGCGGGGGTAAGACAGCGAGGGGCTATGGGTGCGGGGGTAAGACAGCGAGGGGCTATGGGTGCGGGGGTAAGACAGCAAGGGGCTATGGGTGCGGGGGTAAGACAGCGAGGGGCTATGGGTGCGGGGGTAAGACAGCGAGGGGCTATGGGTGCGGGGGTAAGACAGCGAGGGGCTATGGGTGCGGGGGTAAGACAGCGAGGGGCTATGGGTGCGGGGGTAAGACAGCGAGGGGCTATGGGTGCGGGGGTAAGACAGCGAGGGGCTATGGGTGCGGGGGTAAGACAGCGAGGGGCTATGGGTGCGGGGGTAAGACAGCGAGGGGCTATGGGTGCGGGGGTAAGACAGCGAGGGGCTATGGGTGCGGGGGTAAGACAGCGAGGGGCTATGGGTGCGGGGGTAAGACAGCGAGGGGCTATGGGTGCGGGGGTAAGACAGCGAGGGGCTATGGGTGCGGGGGTAAGACAGCGAGGGGCTATGGGTGCGGGGGTAAGACAGCGAGGGGCTATGGGTGCGGGGGTAAGACAGCGAGGGGCTATGGGTGCGGGGGTAAGACAGCGAGGGGCTATGGGTGGGGGGGTAAGACAGCGAGGGGCTATGGGTGCGGGGGTAAGACAGCGAGGGGCTATGGGTGCGGGGGTAAGACAGCGAGGGGCTATGGGTGCGGGGGTAAGACAGCGAGGGGCTATGGGTGCGGGGGTAAGACAGCGAGGGGCTATGGGTGCGGGGGTAAGACAGCGAGGGGCTATGGGTGCGGGGGTAAGACAGCGAGGGGCTATGGGTGCGGGGGTAAGACAGCGAGGGGCTATGGGTGCGGGGGTAAGACAGCGAGGGGCTATGGGTGCGGGGGTAAGACAGCGAGGGGCTATGGATGTGGGGGTAAGACAGCGAGGGGCTATGGGTGCGGGGCTAAGACAGCGAGGGGCTATGGGTGCGGGGGTAAGACAGCGAGGGGCTATGGGTGCGCGGGTAAGACAGCGAGGGGCTATGGGTGCGGGGGTAAGACAGCGAGGGGCTATGGGTGCGTTAGGGAAGGGAGGCAGGGGCGAGAAGAGGGAGGGAGAAAGGAAAGAAAGGGGGGGGACAGAAAGGAGAGGGGAGAGGGGGAGGACAGAAAGGAGAGGGGGTGGGTGGGAAGAGAGGGGAGTGGAAGGAAAGAGGGGGGGAGGGAAACAGAGGACGAGGGGAAGGAGCAAAGGAACGGGGTTACAGACGCACAGCAGCAACGAGTATGCTTCACGGATCACGCCGCACGCACTCACATTATAGTAAGTGTTGTGAGATTTCCTATACCGGAGCAGATGCTTCCAGTGAGATTGGAGCTGTGAAGATCACTGCAGGAGGGCAGTGGGGGGGACGGGAGCATAAAATAAGAAAATTTGGAATCGGTTCAGTATGATTTAATCTGTGAAGTGAAGATCACTACAGGAAGGCACTGTGTGTAGGGGACAGGAGCGCATAATAAGCTGCAGGACGGGACATGAGCAAGACAAAGAAGGAGCATTGCAGGAAAGAACCAATGATTCATACACGGCCTGGAAGATTCTCGAAGAAAGAAGAGGGGATAGGGAGAAAGTGGGGTGGTGGGGAGAGGAGGGAAGGTGGGGGGATGTGAGTGCAATAAGCATCAAGGCCTACTGCTTATAACGCGTACAGCTTACTCCCCCCACTGTACGTCACACAAAATGGTGAGTGTTCTGTCCAGGTTATGGCCAGCTGAGCCCCACGTTCATTGTGCACTGTATAACATGACACAACTCTACCTTTCAGTGCTTATAACGAGTACAGCTCCATCATTCAGTGCAGGAGCATTACAAAAATGTGTGCGTCTGGAAAACATTTGACCTTTTTTTTTTTAAAGCAAGTGTTAAAAAAACGTTTGACAATCATCCAGGAATCATCTATATATCATTCGTATAGCATTTTTGTCACACCAAATGATTTGCTGATGTTTTAGTAATGATTTAGCAATGTTTCAATAGTATGTTTGTCAGATGTTTGTTGTTAAAAGAATAATAAGGTTGCATAAATGTGTGTTTCACAATCAAGATAAGTTATGGTTGATCGACATAGTTGCAATTTAATATGCATCACCAGATGAACCTGTTGAGCAGCTTCACATCAAAGTCTTTGCAGCAGGGGACAACATGCACTGCAAAATATTGAATTGTGCTACCAAAATTTCTGATTAGTAAGTTAAGTGTGGAGCATTATGATACCTCAATTTTGAGACGCAATAAGGTGAAAAACGTACTTGAGGAGAGGACCAACTCTTTCTTAAAAATGATCAACCACCAGGAATTGAACACGGGTCATACACATGAGAGACAAGTACCGTAATTGACTGCACTACAATAACTGCCTTGTGTGATAATATTCAAGTCCAAAGCCCAATTACACCCCAATCACACTTTCCCAACCAACCCTAACCAGCCCAGAAATCGATCCAACCAATCTGGGCTGCCTGATTCAATCCAGCTCAGAATATCACATCGCCCAACCAATCCGAGCCGCCCATTTAATCCACCTCGACAATTTCCAGCTCAACCACCTTATCGGCCCAAGAGTCCCCTAGCTCCCACAACCACTCAGCACTCAACCCATCACGCCAGCACAAGAGTGGAACTGGCTTCCTGTGATGTTATTATTCCTAAGCAGCCGTGACTTCGTTCGTTTTGTTAGCAGGCTTCTCCTTCTCCTAGCTTCTACCGCCACCATAGCTCCTAGTTTCTACCGCCGCCATAGCTCCTAGTTTCTACCGCCGCCATAGCCCTGTCTGATTTGCAGCGCAACAACCAGCGAACCGCAGTTACCGTGTTTTTTTGCTTAAGAAGGCCAGTTACTTATTGTAGTGAGGATATTTCTGACCTCGTTTCGATGATTTTTCTTCATGAGCGTGTGCAGGTCGCCGCGTCAATCTGCCCTTGCTTATCACTTATGGCTGTGCGTTCTTATTGAGGGCGTCACATCCTATTCATGCTTTACTCTAACTTGATATCTACTTTAACCTTCTCATCCTGTTCGTTATGTCTCTAGAAGGCGTGCACTACAAGACCTTTTAATTCAAATATCTATTTTCCAGTTATTTCTTCTCACGGTAAGCATTTGATTGTACGTGGCTGGTCGTTTTACTCACGGCTGTTGATGTGTTTACTTCAAACCAGATGCATGAGTCGTTAATTGAGCAGCAGACATTGCTGTTTCCGCAGCTGTAACGATGCGTTTTGGGGCGAAATCATGCTTAGATTAAGGTCCCGATGAACATGTGAAGGCGACTAGATCTTTGTTAAAGATAGGCAATCATTATTATGCTGTTGATGTTTTGTAATTCTATAATTTAATAAAAAGCTATTGCAATGTTTACAATGATTGTTCGGCATCCGTGATAATGTAACTTTGGGTGCTTGCTCAAATGATTTTTATAGCGCATTGCCAACACATTACAGAGTTTTTATGGCATCCTAAAGTCTACAAGGTTGCCACTGTCTCAAGTCTTTCAAAACTTGTAAAGTCATCGGGAAAGCACCTGCTCAGCGTTCAACAAAGCATTTGGAAAGCGTACTATACTTTCTCAAAAAAGCGTTCGAAACATTACGTTCCTAAATCATTCGACAAAGCTCCAAAGCAACTCTTTCCATCGGCTTTCTGAACGGAGGATTTTTGTGATGGAAACTCACATGGTGTTGACTGTGCCGTCTTTGTTACAGCGTAACCCCACCTCCATCCCACATGTAGTGGCGTTGCTCCAAGTGTTACCCTTTTCCACCGCACACTGCTCCAGTATTTCAACTGCACACACGTAGAGGGGTAGCATTGGTAAACCAGGCCCAAGGTTTGAGAAAACCGTAATAAATGTTATCATGTAGCATTGTACAGGTGTTCAGCAGTGAGCCAGCCTACTGGAACAAGGCTTACTACAGAAACATGCGTTACAGACGCATGCGATACAGACACATGCAATGCAGATACAAGCGATACACGAACAAACCTTGATCAGAATTCACAAGAGTGGCGGCAAATGAAAGCGCCGCATTGTGGCAAAACGCGATGAAGCCAAGGGCCAGCAGTAGTAGCGTCGGCAGCCGCCGCCGTGGCGAAATCACGAACGTCGCCTGCTGGTGGAGGTAACCTCGCGAGGGGAGCCGCGGCGAAGGATCCTGCTGTTCGCGAACCCGGGAGGGCGTCGTCGCCATCATTCGCGAAGCGTCGCACGGACCAAGGGCTGGGAGGGAATGGCTGTCTCGGATTATGACCAGGGGAAGCGTATCGACGTCGAGGCTAACTGAAGAGCGGACCTTCGAACAGGAAAAGCGTATCGACGGCTCAGATGCATGCTGACATGATCAAGTAATGCGCCGATACTATGCGTATCGATGATCGAGGCTTCTTATGCATAATATGAGGCTTCTCAGAAGCGTATCGCGGATGGTTGAGATGTCGAAACGCGTACGATACCGTTCACAGGCGCCGGCCCGACTGTCGCCGAAAACGTTCACGGACTAGACTGTAAACAAAGCGTGGCGGCGCAGCGGCATTCGTGGCGAGTTTCTTCTGAATTTATGTATGCTCATGTGCTCCGTCCGAAAAAAAAATGTCGCAAAATCCCACCGCAAGGCAAGGTTACCTCCAGGATATACCTCCCTGTAGGCCAAAGGATTCAGTACAGTACACCCTCTTTCGCGCCATACTGTCAATGGCTATATGGACCATGTGGCTCAACGCGCCAGAGGAAGCGCTATAGAGGACTTTTGCACCAGTACGGTTTGACGAGGTTAGTTACTTTCGAAGACGGTCGTCTGAACGTTTGATATGGCTCGGTGGGGTACCCAGGATAACGAAATTGCGAATCACTCACCCCCTAGAGACATTTTTTTTGTAACAATTCCGCGTACGCCAAAGGAACAGTTTCACTGTTCAGTGTGTTTCCGCTTGCCAGTGTAGCGAGGTTTCCTCGAGGTTACCACACCGAGGTACAGTACCAGGTTTCTGGTGACCCTGGGTTACCCCAGAGGTGACCCACAGGTCTCCGCAACGACGCCCATTTGAAACCACAAGCCAACATCTGCGCCCACACACATGCGAGCCGCATCGTCGATACGAAATGCCCCCGGCCTTTTTCGTAATCAGGTGCGTGCCAAGTTTCTATCGTAACATCACACAATTTCGAAGATCTGATTCGATTTGGCACAAATGTTGGCTATCGATGCTGGATGTTCTGGCGTCACCCAATGCAATGATTGCATGTTTGCCCGATTTCCACGCGGACAACTGTACTGCTAAATCTTTGAACTGTTGGCGCAGGTGAAGGAAGCTCCGCGAGACAAATCAGCAAATCATAGTTGGAAAGGGTAATCCGAAACACGAGAAATCTACCCGAGTAGGGGGCAGAAATTCAGGGCTCGGCGGGTGCTCAGGAGGTTTGGAACAGCCTTCCGGCTGCATGCGAGACTGTACACGAGAACAACGGGTGCCAAATGTCTGAAGCCCGGCACGTCAAGCAAGCACAAGAGGGTCAGAAGCGTTTTCGAAGCAGAGCAAAAAATGCTGACGAGGATCAGGGAAGCTGGAGACAAAAAATGGAAGTGGACAGCCAGCTTTGGAGCAATTTGGAACAGGCCAAGGAGGGCTCTTCTACCGCCCTAGTAAGCTTGCTGGGCAGCGCAAGGTGTCTGCCCTCACGCTCAGTTACGACTGCTATTGTTGTATGCATTGTCCTCATTAATGTATACTTCAATTCAAAAAAAAATCTACCGCTATAAAGAATTTACGGTACGGTACATGCATATCTAATGGCACATAATGATTGCAACGGTATTCTACGCTTTTAAATATAAGTGTACTGTATCAACATTAATATTGAGAAGGGTAAAATTACATGTTTTTTCATGTTTAGAATTACTATTTCCTATTTCGTAGACGCCCAAAAAAATTGTTGATTTAGCATGCGCAGCGTCCGTCATTTGCGTCAAAAGTACAACAGATCTAGCATTAGAATTCGTTAGAAAAAATGTGGTGAGAAGCAGAAATCTACATAGTAATTGTGCAAAGATGTAATCATTGCATTGGGTAACGTAAAAAAATGCAGCATCGAGAGCCAACCATTCCGATTTCGCTTTGCGTGGTCCTAAATTTCATCTATTTCAGACTGTTCGTACCAATTTGAATCGAATCTTCGAAATTGTATGAAGTTTCGGTAGAAACTTTTTAACGTGATTTTCAATAGCTTTCCTAGATTATGTTGCATGCATATGAAAATGGTCAAAATGCCCCTACTAGTAGACAGACACGGACAAGTCACCGCGTGGAACCGCTTCCATCTTTCTCAAACGAATCGCACTCGATATGGAACAGTACACTTTTGTGAGATCGTAATATGGTTTACATCTATGTTATGCTAGATCGTAGTAAGGTTTACAATTTCAAAACATTTTCAAACCCTAGACAGAAACGCATAATCACTTGTACAAAAACATTCTCATCTTGTATACGCTGTCTTATATGGTGCACAAACTGATTAATAATAATGACCTTTTTACAGACCAAATATAAAACTTACCGTAAGGCCCCGGATAGAAGCGCATGCCTATGATAAGCGCCGGCGCTTATAAAAGGATGAGGGCGCTTATATCCGGTCCTCGATTAAAAGAGCACCCCTGAAGGCTTACGGATTATAAGCGCCACCCTTTGTAATGCTTTCTTATATTTTTACTAGAAACGCTGTAACGAAACACAACTTTGCATTCCCACATTCAGAATTTCGAATCCCTTCACCCTCGCGCGACTCAATGCCTTCGCGTCCAGTCAGAATGAGCTGTCATGGGGTCAATCTGACTCATTCTGACTGTGTGTGTTGGCATGGAATCAGCCACTGCCAATTCACGCGAAATTCACATTCATTGCCCTCTACAATATCGATTCGATTCAAATCGCAAGGACGACATGAACACTTTGGTGTAAAAAAAACTATTTTCATATATGTCATTATGTAAGCACCGGCGCTTATAAAAATCCTCAATTATAAGCCCACCCCCTAAAAAACAGTGTTTTTTTATAACCCCAGGGGCGCTTCTATCCGGGGTATGATGGTAGGGTACAATTATGGCATTTATAAAAAGCACAAGGGATCAATTTAGCACCAGAAGTCAGCTGATCAATGGAAAACAATTTTAAAACACTTCAGAATCAAGCCAATAAATATTTCCTGCCACCATAGAAATCCAACGCATAGATTTGTCACTAAACGAGCAAACGAATCAGGGAAACGGATGGGCTGAAAAAACATCATTGGCAGGCTACGAATGTCGCTATATGCGGAATTTGCTTACCATGTGGAATGTTACGGCAACTTGTGGGCTCGTGAACCAATGGCTGCAGTCGCACAGCGCAAGACCCTTGGATTGTTATGGAAATAAAAATAGAGACAATGAGAACGTTAGAGAGAATCGGGTGACACATAGATAGAACCGAGGCTTTGATAAAAACATAAGTGAAGATAAACAGATTGACCCCATAAGAACATAATGGAATGAGCGGAGCTTATTCTGCAAACCCGTCTTACAACAATCGTGGTGATACACACACTTGGGTATCTTATCTCAGATGCAATATTTGGACCCCCACGTAACAACGAATTGTACGGCAGTACGCAACGTCGGCGGAAGAACATGCTTCGCTCCCGCCACATGAGATCTGCCAGAACGAAGCTGTAGACAACATACATAGTACAAATACTCAGATAACCACGGCAATACTGAACGTATTATGATGTCGCTGGCAAATTATTTGGAAATATCAATGAGAACGTAATCTTTAAGCGTGCATGCAAAGCTCTCTATGGCGCGACTATGAAGGGACCACGAAAAGAAGGCGGCGAGTAGAGTTGGTGGTTACCTTACGACCACCATTTAAAGCTGAACGACAACTTCAATGGCGAAATGCGATGATGGAGAAATAATCACACATCACTTCTACCACCGATAATCTGCCATAAAGAAGCAAGCCTAAAAAAAAAAAGGTTAAATACTTGTAACTAAACGTCGGCAACTCTGAAAGGTGAATTTATAAAAACATAAGGAACCTAATTTCTTAGCGTTGATGCATAGTTGCCAGGTAACTATGCGCCATGTAGCGACAATCACGCAGTCAGGGAGGCATGGCGGGTGACCAGGGCTGACGTTTCATTTTAGGCCTCCCTGATTGGGGGGGGGGGGGGGGGGGGGGGGATTTTCCCCTCTATTATGAGTGCACATTTTTCAGAATGATGCTACCCTGATTGCTCAGGGTTGAAAAATCGTTAACTCTGATTGTTCAGGGTCGCAAGTTGAACATCAGAGTAGTAACGCGCCCTTTGTTACCGGGGAAAAAAAGTCTCGCTCTGCAGAAGGTCGCGCTCTGTGTTTCGGGCACAACTTTTGCGTGCTAATTTCCACCATTTTACTTTGAGGGAAAAATATTTCTCCACACGTTTTAGTGCGAGGAAGAGACGAGCGATTTCGGTCAACCAAACAGTTCAATTCAATACCACAGTTGTGCCAAGTTTTGAATTCACCGATTTACCTGAATTTCGCCAACATCACTGTCGGAATCGCTAAAAATATTTGGTAACTTCACGCACACGCAGTGATGACAGTTAGCGACCTATTCAAGATTCGTGAAAAAACATGCATTGAGTGCACTCGTCAGTCAGACATGCTGCTGTCTGTCACTCACGCGCTGGCTGTACTGCGATCAATGCGAAGACAGGGTTATCAGAAGGAAATTTCCGGGAGATTTCATCTCGATAAGGTCAAATTCAGGAACCACAGAGTCGATTCTCTATTAAGTCAGGGTCCACTAACAGGCTAGTCTGTTACACTATACTCAAAATTAGGGATAGGAAAACAATTACTCTGATTGGATCAGGGTTGAGAACTAAGTGACTTGGCAATTTCAGCCTCCGCAAAGTGGAAAGCCTGAAATCTCCCTGAAATCAGGGTAATTACCCTGATAAAAACAGCCGGGGTAATATGGTGAGAGATAGATGCATCGAGAATGATGAATTAGAGCGGTAAAGTACGAGGCGAACTGTCAGAATGTTATTCTCTAGCCTGTAGTGGGGTGCTCTATAGCGAGTACAACCCATCTAGGGTTTGCTATATGTATCCTCATTGCTGCTAGTGAACCTCCTCTTTGCCTAAACTTTCTCTTGCCTAGCTAGGGTTCTCCTAGCTATGGCTCCTGCTTATGCTTACTCTTTTGACATGGTAACAGAGCGTTCACGCTCCTGGCCTGTGGGCCCCACTGCTGCTTCCGCTGCCCTACTCAGTGTCGCGCGCCCCGTGGCGCGCGACCTTCACATTTTCATCCCGCCGCGCGCTCGGGGCGTGCGGCGGTTTTCTCCCCGCCGTGCGCACCGAGGCGCACGGCGGTTTCCTACCGTGGGGGACGCCCGCGGCCCCCCGATCCCGTCGCCCGCGGCCCTCCGGTCCCGTCGCCCGCGGCCCCGCGATCCCGTCGCCCTGGGGAGCCGCACGCGACCCCCCGCGGCCCCGTTTTCCCGTCGTGCCGCCCTGGGGAGCCGCGCGCGACCCCCCGCGGCCCCGATTTCCCGTCGTGCCGCCCTGGGGAGCCGCGCGCGACCCCCCGCGGCCCCGATTTCCCGTCGTGCCGCCCTGGGGAGCCGCGCGCGACCCCCCGCGGCCCCGATTTCCCGTCGTGCCGCCCTGGGGAGCCGCGCGCGACCCCCCCGCGGCCCCGATTTCCCGTCGCGCCGCCCTGGGGAGCCGCGCGCGGCCCCTCTCTGCCCCGTGGTCGCGTTCTGGGGGCCGAGCGCCGTCCCCCTCGCCGTCCCCCGCGCTCCTTCCCCCGTTCCGCCCGTTTTTAGGGTTTTGGGGTGCGGAGTGTGGGGGTGGCAGCTCTGGGGGTGCCGTGTGTGTGCGCCGTCCCCTGCTCCTCCTCCTCCTCCGTCTCCCACTGCTGCAGCTGCCGCTGAGGGGGGTGGATGTGTGGGAGCCGAGGTTTAGGGTTTAAGGGGGGTGCCGTGGAAGTGGAGCTAGGGTGTCAGCAGGGGGTGTGTGAGAGGGGCGTGGGACGGTCGGGGGAGGTTGAGCGGAGGCTGCCGTCTTGTCGTCAGCAGCACCTGTAGTCCGGGGCGCTGTTCCGGTAGCCCAGTCGTAGCCAGCTGCGCCAGTCGCCCGTGGGTCCGTTGCTCGTCTGCCGCTCTTCTTAGCCGCGGAGCCAGTTACTCCTGTAGTCCGGGGCGCTGTTCCGGTAGCCACTGTGCCAGTTTGACTCCTGTTGCCCGTGTGTCTGCAGCTTCAGCCGTCGCCTCTCATCTTCTCTCCTTCCACAGTTCCTCCTCCTCCTCACTTGCCCTTTGTGAATGCCTCTAGCTTTGCTTGCACTTGTGAACCTGCTTTCTACCTGCTTGCTCATTGTACTGATTACACCCCACTTTGGCTATGGGGGTGTGTCAGAATGTTATTCTCTAGCCTGTAGTGGGGTGCTCTATAGCGAGTACAACCCATCTAGGGTTTGCTATATGTATCCTCATTGCTGCTAGTGAACCTCCTCTTTGCCTAAACTTTCTCTTGCCTAGCTAGGGTTCTCCTAGCTATGGCTCCTGCTTATGCTTACTCTTTTGACACGAACGTCCCCCAAGGTCGAAGTGACGAGGAAAGCTATGATTGGTCAGCGATAACACCCTGAAAAACACCCCGATATGCTGAGGCTCGCTACGGTATTATGAACCGACTTAAACATTCCCGCTCTAGTAACAGGCGGGTATCAACTTGGGGTCAGCTTCGGTCTTATTTGCTTCGGAACAAGGCGAAACGAAACTGTGCGAGTCAACCTAGCCTCGTTTCGAAGCAGGGGGGTTACCCCGAGAAAACCTCAAAATTATCTGCCCCCGGATTCGTTGAATTTTGATTATCGATTGTGAACGATTTGGTGACGAATTTCGCAAGTGTCGTTGATCCCCAAATGTAACCAGTTGGCATCTTGAGGGCAACCTTGGGGTAACGAAAAGCGATACCCCAAGGTATCCCACCATTTCGAGCCCATTTGGGCGTTCGATTTTTGGGATGTCATGAAGGAAGATAAGCAGAAGGTAAAATAATTGCCACGGAGAATCTCCGTGCGAAAACTCCCTCATATGCTGGGCGAAAACAGTTGGTGTAACATTCAACCACGACAACGACCGGCACACTAGACTCGGTAAAAAATGTACAAGTACAAAAGACAAAATGAAATCAGCGCAATCTCGTATTACTAATTGAGAAAGTCTAATAATTCATTGCCTGTTACTCAGCGATTCACTCCATCAAGAAGCTCTACCTAATCATCCATACGGTAGTACGTCCGGGTGCATAGAGCCTCCCAGCCACTCAATTAATCTTATGAAGCCTCAGCTCCTTCGTCAACGGTTTCTTTCAGCCATGTGATTGAGACAATCTGTAACGAATTGACAACTCCATGCCTCCTAACGAGTGCGCCCCCGGTCAAGAAGATCCAACTCATCATCCATGGTGCGCGCGGCGGGTGCATAGAACATCCTAGCCTCTTGATCAATCTTCAGCAGCCTCGGCTCCTTTGTCGACGCCTCACCTCCACAAATCTCCGTTTTAATCGCGCCCAACTGCGCGACAATTTCAGGCATGTGCGGGCGAGAGGAGGCAGGCATTGATGTGCATCGCTGTGCGAGCTCCACCAGATTGAGTAGAAGCTCATTGGGGATTGAATCAAGGTTAGGATCCTTGATGGCTTCGATGTCGCCTGCTTGCACGCGTTCTTTGACCTGGAGATGTGGACAATATCAGACGGGCAAGCAAGTGTGACAACACATAGTGGATTTGCCAACAACGATCGACTGGGTGTGGCCATGTTTTGCATGCTTCCGGATGGAAAGCGTAAGTATGGACGGTTTTAAAGGTATGCATGTAAGAGGCCAAGTGCAAATATTTGAAAATGCAAAGAAAAATTGCTCGCATATACATGAAGGGGGTGTAGATGAAAAATTTGATGATGTTGCACACACACTTACCCAGTCTTTTATGTTCACTCCGCGATTTTCGTGCATCACGACAGGCTTGGTCAGCAGGATCTCAAGCATCATCACGCCGAAGCTAGTGATGAGGGGCAACGATTCCAAAAATAGAAGAAAAGAAGAAGAAGAAAAAAAACTGTTGAAAGAAGGGGAATGGGAGGAGACTGAAAATAGAACATAGGCAATAATGAAAAGGGGGGAAGGGTTCAACACGTTGGTAGTTAAGTGCTCTGAGTCTACTCAATACACACCAGGCTTGGTTAGCAAGACCTCAACCATCATCACGCCGAAGCTGGTCACGAAGGAGGGTGAGTGAAGGAAATGGAAAGTGTGAAGGTGAAAAAAAGAAGAATAGTCGAACGTGACCACGCTCCATGGCGCAATTACCATGCGCAAAAGAAACAGCAAACCCTGTCAACTGCAAGTGCCTATAAGAAACCACTAATGTGTTTTATGAGAATCCTCAAAAAAAATTCAAACATTGTCACTTGTAAGCGGCTATGAAGAACAACAGGTTGGTTCCTTTTTTTTTTTTTAAGAATTCTTAAAAAACACATTCGAAGCTTGTCAACTGCAACTGCCTATAAGGAACAATGGATTCGCCCATGCATGTTGGACCTTGGGGGAAGGGGAACTTGAGGGACTTTTGAGTCGACTAAAAAGTCAACCGCAACTGCCTATAAGGAACCATGGATTTGCCCACGCATGTTGGACCTTGGGAGAAGAGGGGCTTGAGGGAAGGAGGGCTTGATTCAACCCAACCCACCTGAAAACGTCAGCCATGGGCGTGGCCTTGTTGGTGCGCGAGTAAGCGGGGTCCACATAGCCCGGAGTGCCGACCACTCGAGTGGGATTCACTGTGGTGCCCTCCGTTATCCGCACCAGCCCAAAATCTGATATCTTCGCCTGAGGTGGTGGAGGGGGGGAAGGGGAAATGAGGGCAGATGAGGCACCACTTAAAATGCTTAAGAAAGCTGGCTGTATATCAATTTGAATTTTTGAAAGTATAGAATTCATGAATATCTTTCAGTTGCCTAAACGAGCAAGAACACAATAGTAAACGCTGCAACACATCATAAATTGTTTCTCCTCACCTGCATGTGTGCATCTCACCACGTATGGCTCCCCAACCGCACTTTAACGCACTCAACCATCCCAACCCCCCTCAAATGTACCTGCATTTTGGCATCGAGCAGCACATTGGCAGGCTTGATGTCTCGATGCACGATGTCAAACTGGTGGAGGTACTCCAACCCCCGCGCCACCCCCACCAGCACGTCCATGCGCTGCTGCAGCGTCAACGTGCCTTTTTTTGTTCCTGCATGGGAGGAGGATGGTGTGAGATGTAGCTCGATAAGAAATAACACTTCTGTCTAGGATATCTTTGTTTTGAGATGTTTCATAAGGAAACGACATGTTTTTGGTAAACACTTCAAAAGAGAGACAATATTGATATTTTGTGTGCAAAACCTTAACTTAGAACAGGAAAAAGGTTGAAAAATAAGATTGTAGCCTCCCAATCTTAACCACATGGATACACTAACTGTAGCCAGATCACAACGCATTCGACTTTAGCTTGTATAGAACCCTAAACCTTAAACCCTAAACCCTAAACCATCTCCAGTGCTGGTTTTCTGACATTTAGATTCGCCAATTCCAACCAGCTAACAATAATGGTTGCTTGAGTTTAAAAGAACTTATCCATTGACAAACCTAACGGTCATTAGACCAGCTTCCTCTCCACTCTTCTCTTGCTCCTTCATTGTACTATAGTGCCTCTTGGCTCCTTCATTGTACATAGTGCCTCTTGGCTCCTTCATTGTACATAGTGCCTCTTGGCTCCTTCATTGTACATAGTGCCTCTTGGCTCCTTCATTGTACATAGTGCCTCTTGGCTCCTTCATTGTACATAGTGCCTCTTGGCTCCTTCATTGTACATAGTGCCTCTTGGCTCCTTCATTGTACATAGTGCCTCTTGGCTCCTTCATTGTACATAGTGCCTCTTGGCTCCTTCATTGTACATAGTGCCTCTTGGCTCCTTCATTGTACATAGTGCCTCTTGGCTCCTTCATTGTACATAGTGCCTCTTGGCTCCTTCATTGTACATAGTGCCTCTTGGCTCCTTCATTGTACATAGTGCCTCTTGGCTCCTTCATTGTACATAGTGCCTCTTGGCTCCTTCATTGTACTATAGTGCCTCTTGGCTCCTTCATTGTACATAGTGCCTCTTGGCTCCTTCATTGTACATAGTGCCTCTTGGCTCCTTCATTGTACATAGTGCCTCTTGGCTCCTTCATTGTACATAGTGCCTCTTGGCTCCTTCATTGTACTATAGTGCCTCTTGGCTCCTTCATTGTACATAGTGCCTCTTGGCTCCTTCATTGTACATAGTGCCTCTTGGCTCCTTCATTGTACATAGTGCCTCTTGGCTCCTTCATTGTACATAGTGCCTCTTGGCTCCTTCATTGTACATAGTGCCTCTTGGCTCCTTCATTGTACATAGTGCCTCTTGGCTCCTTCATTGTACATAGTGCCTCTTGGCTCCTTCATTGTACATAGTGCCTCTTGGCTCCTTCATTGTACATAGTGCCTCTTGGCTCCTTCATTGTACATAGTGCCTCTTGGCTCCTTCATTGTACATAGTGCCTCTTGGCTCCTTCATTGTACATAGTGCCTCTTGGCTCCTTCATTGTACATAGTGCCTCTTGGCTCCTTCATTGTACTATAGTGCCTCTTGGCTCCTTACTCAATGCAACGACCATCTGTCTAACAGACTGCTAACATTTAGTGTCCCAAATGCTTCTCGAACCTTAACATGCGCAAGTTTTAGGCATTTTCGAGGTTTGACAAAACCATGACACACGTGCTAGGATGAACCGTCAAGAAAAAGGTTGATGAAGACCCGGAACATGCAAGCGATTCCTAGATTTTCGAACTCAGTAGGCCAATTTTAGGGCAAATGTAACGCTCCCTTCAAGGAACTTCTCTCACCTTGACAGAGGAGTGGAGTGGAGAGGAGAGGAACTTATCTCCGTTGGCACAGACCTCTGTGGCACTGAGCGCAGAGGAGTGGAGTGGAGTGGAATGCGGTAGATCACTTTGAACTGCATCCGCTCTCACCTTCACTGAGGTACTTTTCGAGGTCTCCATTGGGGCAAAACTCATAGATGACGATTTGCTCGTGGTGGTCTGTTGCCCTGTCAATGTCCACACAGTACCCCAGCAGCCGCACCAAGTGCGGATGGCTCTTTGATGCCATCTCCTCCACCTGCAAGGGAACCAAGGGAATGAGGAAAGAAAGACGTGACGGGCAGGCAGTGAACTAGCGAGAATATTGCGCCTCTTTGATGCCATCTCCTCCACCTGGAAGGACATCAAGAAGATGAAGAAATGCGGGAAGTGTTGCCATGAGCACTGAGTTTGGGCTAAAGGTCGCCTCTCCTCCACCTACAAGGGAACCAAGGAGATGAGGGAATGTGACAAGGAGACATGGGTAGACAAGTCGTGTTAAAAGTCGAATCATAGTCATTTCACTCCGGTATTACGTGTCCCTCGTACGCTTTCATGTCTTCATTTTTTTGACCGAGTTGAGCTTTGCCAAATTTTCGAGTGTGAAAAGACCCCCCCCCCCCCCCCCCCCTGTTGAGTGCAAAATGCGTTTGCACGTCAACCTACCGCCTATTCGCAGGTGGTAAAGGAAAATGAGAGTCTTTGTTTCAAGGTAATTTGTGGAGTGTGAGGAGCGCATGCGTGTGCTTTACATTTGTGCGTTTACGGTTTGTGAATCGCCTTAGCGGTTTATGAGTTATGTGCATTTTTTTGTGTGAGTGCATTTCATGAATGTTCATGAGTTTCCATGAGAGCGCATGAAGTGTCGTGAGTTTCGGTAAGTTCGCGTGTGTTCGCGATTGTTAATGAGTTTGCGTGTGTGCTCATGAGTTTTCATGTATTTTCGCGTGGGTTCGTTTGAGTTTTTGTGTTCATGAAAGCTCATGAATGTTCACGAGTTTTTTTGATTGTTAATGAGAGATAGCGAGTGTTTCTCGCTGTGAGATTTTTTCTCTCGTTGGTCAAGCGAGAATCGCGAGAGAATCAGGACCGCGCGTGGGGTCCCGATATCGCGTGTGGCCCCACAAGGGCGAGCGTGTGCGTGGCACTGTTGCGACCGAGCACAGTGCACACGATCGCAAAAGGACAGGCGAAATGATCGCCATGTCCTTGTGCAGGACAGCGTACGTTTGTGCGCTGTACAGCACGACCGAAAAGTCGGTCGTGCATGATTGCACCCTGCAGGGGTGCGCGTGGGTTTCGGGGGGTGCTGAGGAATCCCGAAGGGTGCTCGGGATTGACTCGAGATTTCAGTTGAATAACTGAATCTCGAGCTTTGACTTTTGTGACGTGGCGAACATGATACTTCGCTAGAAAGTCACGCTGCATTGCGTGATCATTTCGACAAGGTACAAAACGGTAAATTCCGTTTTGCAACGGGAAAACGATTTTCCCACACGAGGCTTCATGAATGTTAACGGTAATTCATGAGTGCTCGCGAGGGGAGTCAGCAGAGGCATTTGGATCAAGTACAACTCGAAGTCAGTTATTCTAAGGAAGCGGATCAAGCCAAATGCATGAAGTTTGACAACCGTTTTTCTATGACAACATGGCGAAGTCCTAAATTACAGTTTCATAACTGTAAAATGTTTGCCTTGTGTTTGCTCTAGTTCGTGCTTAGTGCTTTCTATAAATGTGTGCTTGTGTTTGATTGTAATCACAACTTTGACGAGTGAAAACATTCTCTATCGACGTATTGACGCGAGGAGAATTTTCTGCACACGTTCCAATCTACTGTCAACACCCCCCCCCCCCCCCCCCCTTTTTTTTTTTTCAAATCTCTTTGCTTATACGCCCAAGCGCACCTCTCGCTTAAGTCGTTGGTGAGTATCTTGGCGCCCTTCACAGCCCACACCACAAGAGACATTCCCCGATAAACCCATCCCATCCCACACCAACACACTCAACCGCTTTATACCCCACACACACCACACTACACCACACCTCCCACACACACCTCTCGTTTGAAGTCGTTGGTGAGTATCTTGGCGCGCTTCACAGCCCACACCACCGACGGATCACCGGGACACACCCCCCGATAAACCTCGCCATACCCGCCCGACCCAACATGGTTTGCCTCAGCCCAGTTATCCGTTGCCTTGGCAACCACGTCTAAGGGGTACCGCTGGCACATGAGTGAACTGGTTGGTACTGATTCCTCTCCCTCCTTCGATGCTCCATCGCCTGTTGGGAGGGAATGGTTGGCATGGGGCAATCGCAGCTAAGGGGTATCGTTGGCACATGAGCGACCCGGTTGTTACAGATTCTTCTTCTTCCTTCGATGCTTCCTCGCCTGTGGGTATCGGGAAAGCCAAGAATACAGCGGTAAAAAGGACTTTGAAGTGACTCTGGTGCTCGGCATGGGCATGGGCACGGTTGTGCAAGGGCATGGGCATGGTTGTGCAAGGGCATGGGCATGGTTGTTGTGCAAGGGCATGGGCATGGTTGTGCAAGGGCATGGGCATGGTTGTGCAAGGGCATGGGCATGGTTGTGCAAGGGCATGGGCATGGGAAACCCCAAACAGTGGACATTTGTTTGCGAAAAAAAAAAAAGAGAAAAAAAAAAAAGAAAAAAAAAACTTAGGGTAAAAAAACACAAAACAACAGGACAGTGGACGAAATCGTCTTAGGGTTGCGAAGCGTTTTGCAATACGTAACTAAATGAAATTGTACAACTTCTAATTCTGTACAAGCTGTAGTATGACACTAAGTGGTATTTGATACAACCTAGCAAAAAACTAGAAAAAACACATCAGCAGGATTTGACCTGGAGATCTTCAGATTGCATGTTCAATGCTAAACGACTCCGCCAACACTAATGTTCGTAGTATACAACAAATTTAATCCAAAGCATTTTTGTTCGACAAATCTGGGACTGCTTTAGGGTTTGCTCGTTCCTTTTTTTCTCCCGCTCCTTCTTCTCGCTAGTTGAGAACTCCGCCAGACACGCTCCACCTACTAGTGCAAGGTAAGAACAAGCCTAGCCTATCAATCAGGACCAAGTTAGATCATTACAAGCTAACATAACTCTAGCCTACCCTACCATTTCTTAATCTCATGTCGTATTAGTTTCATATAGTGTTGGCTGCAAGTTGTTTTAAGCTTAGGTTTTAGGCCGCATTTCATCTGTTTCTCCTACCCGCTCCTCTTTCTGTCTTAATCTTAACGTTAGTCTTATTCGTTAGCCATAAACTTCTCTCGCACCTCGTTCTTTTTTACCATTCGTCTCTCTTGTTACGGATTTGTTTTCTTCCATGGTTATCTTTTCTTTGTTAGCTTGCACTTGTTTCCTTCTATTTGATTGCGCATGCTGAGCGTCTAGCTGCCGACCTTCGAAAACTCTATTTGTCTCGCTCTCTCTTTGTCTCGCACTCTCTTTGCCTCGGTCTCTCTCGTTCTCTCTCCCTCTCTCGCTCTCGCTTTC